GTATACGGCGTTGCGGTGGCCTACTTCTGGATGCACCGATACGAGTGCTTCAAGCTTTTTGGCCTACCTCCCGAGCCATTCAACGGGGTGCCGGGAATGGGCTTCATCGGGCTGTTAGTGGGACTCAATATATCGGCTATGTTTGCCAAGGTTCCCAAGGTCGATGTTGTGTCGCATCTCGTCGGCATGGCTGTGGGCGCCCTCGCGGGCCATCTGTTGGAGAGGCAGAGGGAGGAGAGGCAGCGGCTGAAGGAAGAGAAGATACGGGATGAGAGGCGGGTGTCCATCGGTGTTGTGGCCAGCAGGGCTGGGGGGAAGTAGATACCCGCACAACAGGGTGGGTTTGAATGGCTTGGAGAGCTGATTCGATGTGTACATGATAACCTTCCTCGCCACCTTGAATATGCTTTCCTGTACGATACATGTACTGTCAGATCTTCCGGTCATCTCCAACTGGCAACCGAGGTTGAATTGCTGCCGCAATAACATCAACCTACACCCCTACATCCCCTTGTGATCTCTGCTGAATATGCGGGTTGTGTCCGTACAACGTCAGCTGGAAGATAGTAGGGAACGGACCTTGGGCGGGCTGCTTCAGGCCAGCTGAATCCGACGTACGTGAACTCGGGCACCGACCTAAACCAGTCTTGGCAGCTCAGCCAAGAAATCCCCCCACATGCCAACGCCGGCTTGCAGGGATGCCCGCTGACGCAAGATCAGCTTGCAGCTGCAAGGCCTCGATGGAAACCCAGCTCCGTCTCTTTTTTTTTGTCTTGGTTTCCCGCTGAATTGATTCATGACGACGGAGCTCGCTCTCTTGGCCCGGAAGAGGCGGTAGCCCAAAGGGCTTGGCCTGTGGTCAATCTGTGCCGTCTACCCGGGGGTTGTAGCCATGTATACATACATTCTCGATCCGCTGGCAAACAAATGCCAGAAGCGTCGAATCACGATGCTGCGGGCGCGCCTGCTGGTTGTTAATGTTGATGGTTCCCCATGCCGTTGCATGCCGTTTTCACCCAGGCCTCCCGAGTCCGCGCTCGAGTCTCAACCGACCTGGTCCATCCATTGGCTTGGCGCCGCTTTAATCAGCTCTAAACCCAGGCAAGCTCCCTCGACAGCAGACGCGCGAGGGAGACGAGGTGAGGTGAGGTGCCATGTGCGGGTGCATCCTTGCTTTTTGTTTCTCCATGGGCCCCGACGTAATTTCCCTGTCCTGAGTCTCGACTCCTTCCCTGCTTTCCTTCCTCCTGTTCCTTGTTCTGCGCATCTGCTTGGTTGCCGAATTGTTCATCGCCCCCGTGTCCCACCATCACCGTCGCCGTGAAACGCTGCGTCGCACCACTGCACCGACTACTCCCTGCGCCGTCTGGTGACCGCCCTCCCGCTCCCGCTCCCGCTCTCGCTCGGCCCTCGAACACGCACGCGCCCCTAAGGGAGTATTCTGAGCGACCTCGTAGCCGTCGCCCGCCATGTCTCCCCGACGCGACCCTGATGCGGACCTCTTCCGCGACGACGACGACGACGACGATGTCGAGACGGTTGCGCCGCAGGCCTCGGGCCAGGCCCAAGCCCGCAACAACAACAACCCCCATGCGTCAGCCACACGTTGGCGACATCAGGAGTCGTCCTCGTTCGCGCGACACGCCCGCCACCATCCGCCCGCCCCCGTCGCCCGCGAGGCCGACTCGCACAGCCGTGTCGACGATCTGGCCGACTTCCTCAACTCGTCGCGCATCTCCCCGATCAGCGAGTCTGGTGGTGGGGGCAGCCGTCCGACCACGCCGCGGTTCATGCCCGTCATGGCCGGCGCCGCTGAGGCCAGAGCCAACGTTACCGGGGGCGAGGCCGGGGAGAGCGACGTTGCGCCCAGTGCCCCACAGCCCGACCTCAAGGAGATCGCTGTCGGCCCGCTTCTCAACTACCGGCGCATGGAGGGCAACCTGTGGATTGGAAGCGTCTTAGTCGTTACCCAGGGCGGAGGCAAGACACAGACCATCACGCCGACCCTGAGCCTGCGCCGGGCCGACACGGCGAACAGCAGCATCACGGATATTCAGGGCATCTGCCTCTACTCGGACTCGCGCAACACCTTCTGGCGATTCGACCTGAACCTCACCATGGGCCGGAGCGAGACGCGCTGGGAATACGCCCTGCCGGGCCTGCGTTTCGTGCACAAGTCGAAGCCGCGCATCAACAGCTTCTGGGTGCCCGCCGTCACCGAGTCCATGAGAATCATGTTCTATTCGTGCAACGGCTTCAGCGTCGGTACCGATGAGGAGGCTTGGAGCGGCGCTGCGCTCTGGAACGACGTAATGCGGCGTCACCGCGAGGCCCCTTTTCATGTCATGTAAGAGCCACCACATCGATACCTGGAGGAGACAAAGCTGACAACCCAGGCTCGGCGGTGGCGACCAGATCTACAACGATGCAATCCGAGTCTCGGGCCCCCTGCGCGAGTGGACTAGCATCAGCAACCCCAAGAAGCGGAGGGAGTTTTCCTTCCCCGAGAGGCTTCGCGAGGACTGCGACGACTGGTATCTGCAAAACTACATTTCATGGTGTGTGCTCAGTGCTGTGGCCTCGCAACTTCGTACCCACGGGTTCTAACAAGCTCGGTTTTAGGTACGGGACGGAACCCTTCGCAGAAGCGAACGGTCAGATTCCACAGGTGAACATCTGGGACGACCACGATGTATGTGTTCCCAGCCACACTGACGTCTCCAATGCGCCCCGAGACCCCTCTGCTAACATGGCCAGATTATCGACGGCTTCGGATCATACGTAAACGAGTTCATGAAATGTGATGTAAGATTGCCCCCCGGCTGTGACCTTGGGAGTGCGTGGTCATACTAACAGAAGCAGGTGTTCAAAGGAATTGGCGGAGTAGCACATAAATACTATATGCTTTTCCAGCATCATCTACCACCTCCTCCATCCACATATACCTCCGGTGAGCACACTTTTCAGTTCTCGGCTCTCATTCTTACTAACAGGGAGTAGACGCTGTTGCGGCAGCCTCGGGTGAGGATGGGCAAGGGGTTGATCCCAACCAGATGGGCGACACCTATGTTCACCCCAGGATGACAGAATCCAACTACATTGTCGGGTCACAACACGGGGTATGTTTCTTGCCAGATGTGAGAAGCGGGCGGTCGAGTGCTCACCTAATTCTAGCCGTATGTTGCCGAGCACTCTCACAACGTTTTCGCCAAATTGGGCGCTAGAATAGCCATGCTGGGCATCGACGCCCGTACCGAGGTAAAGGCAACTCCCAAAGCGGCATGGCAGAGATAGCTCTGACACCGAACAGCGCACGAGGCACCAGGTCAACTATCCAGAGACGTATGATCAGATCTTCACACGGGTGCGGGAAGAATTGACAGCCGCTGCCAACTCTGGAGCCCCGTTTAAGCACCTGATTCTCCTCTTAGGCATCCCTATTGCATACCCTGTAGGTTCTTGTGTCACCAAACCGGGCAACGAGCATCAGCTGACATATTTTCAGCGTTTGACCTGGCTTGAGAATATCTTTGCCAGTCCCGTTTTGGGTCCGATCAAGTTTCTCAACCGGCGGATGGGCCTTGGGGGCAGCTTCTTCAACAGCTTTGACGGGAGCGTCGACCTGCTAGACGATCTCGACGACCATTACACGGCAAGAACTCACAAGAAGGAGCGCAACCATCTGGTTCACAGGCTCCAGGGCATATGCGCCGAGTTCTCGGTTCGCATCACCATCCTGGGAGGCGATGTCCATTTGGCGGCGCTGGGGAGGTTTTACGCCAAGCCCCGGCTCAACATCCGGACCGAAAACGATTACCGCTACATGGCCAATGTTGTGTCGTCGGCCATTGTCAACAAGCCACCCCCGCAGGCCGTAGCCAACCTTCTCTCCAGGAGGAACAAGATCCACCACCTCGACCGCGAGACTGATGAGACGCTCCTCAAGATATTCGACAAGGATCCGGGCGAGACGGCCAAGACGGCCAGCCACAACCAAGTCACCATGCCGAGCCGCAACTTCGCCATCATCACGGAGAACTCGCCCAACAATTCCCACAATGGGGGCGCCCACCCGGGCGCGCTGCTGTCGCCTCGCCTCGCACCACCCGTGCCAGGGACGCGTCCCGGCTCCAGTTCCGCTCAGAGCCACCAGAGCCATCGCAGCCACCACAGTCACACATCCTCGACGGCCTTGCCTGGTGCTAAAGACGGCCGTCTCGCGGTCCACGCGGGCGAAGTCAACGCCGGGACCAAGCACAAGGCTGCGTCGCCAACAGAGCACGGCAAGGGGTTCGATGGTGGCCTTGACGTGTGCATCCGTGTCGAGAGGGACCAGCACGACTCTCAGGGCTTCACCCAGGGCTACGGCATGACGATCCCGATACTCGACTACCGGGGACCCAAACCGCCATCGATGGCGCCACCAAGGAGCGCGAGTTCCCGGTCAAGCAGCTCCGAGCACCACCGAGATTAAATCTAGCCTGGTCCAGTAGATATCCACCCTCCGTTCCTGTCTCTGTTATTAGTGCCATGTCACGGGATTAGCTATCTTCATCATTTCCATTCATACATCTATACCTACAGAAGCGCAGCGTCACGTTTAGTTTCGTTTGTTCCTATCGTACACATAGAGGAGGGCAAAATCCATCTGCTGCGAGTGCAGCCAGCTACCAAAATCTTCTTGCACATAGTTTTTTTTTTTTTTTTATATTATAAAGGGCCTCAGCAGCGACTGGGTAATGACTGATTGGGGCAATGTTGCTTGTTCAAATACCAAAGAGAATCAAAGTTTCCGTTTACCCACAACCACCTTTCCTCTCTGCCATTCCTTTGCATGCAGGACTTGCTACAGTACCAGGGAGTCGATGTTGCTGTCTTCTGATCACATGGCTGTCTCGGGCCCATCCACTCAACGCCTCCACCCAACACCGACTGCCTCCACCCAGCAGCACCCACCTCAACACCCAGACAGCCAGACTATTACTTCAACAACTCAACAAGGGCCGCTGGTCTAGTGGTATGATTCTCGCTTAGGGTAACACCCTACAGCAGTGTTTTGCGAGACGTCCCGGGTTCAATCCCCGGGTGGCCCCTTCTCTTTGCCGGTGTCATCCTCTTCGGGAGCCGTGGACAATAGAGGTGGAATAATCCATTGGATTTCTATATTGTACCCGCTGCATCTACTAGACATGCTGCGAAGGTGGAGGAAAAAAGTGAGTGGGAGTTGACCCTACCCCCCCCTCCCCCCTGATAGGTAGTGAGTAGCAAACTCCTAGTTTCGAACCAACGAGATCTCCTCCCTTTTCAGCCCGAGTGATACCGATACAGTTCAAGGAGATGGAACAAAACAAAAACCAAAAAAAGCCAGAAACGAAACCGCGGCCACGCCCGTGTTATACCAACCGGGATCTTAGCGATGGTAGTGATAACAACGACTCTTGCGATGACAGTGACAGCGATACCCCGGAAAGAACAACAAGTGAATCAAACCACCTCGCGGCCACGAAGCCGAGCACAAAACCGCCCGCCACGAGGCCAATCGCCACAGCGGCCGTCAGCGACGGGCTTGTTTCACGCTGGATCCACCGCTGGCGCAGGCGCAGGACGCCGATGCGCATGTAAAACAGCTCTCGGGCGCCATCGACGACGCCGTGGGCGTCGGGTCTGAGCTCGGTCGACGGTCGGGGGGTGGGCTTCTTTTCTACTCTGTTGCGTGCGGACGCCCATTATTGGCTGTGGTGAGTCAGTCTCGCTTTTTCTTTTTTTCCTCTAAAAGTTTTGCAGGGTGGGTGTAGAAAGACGAGAGGAAAAAAGAAAAAAGAAAAAAAAAAGGGGGGGGGGCCCACAGCAAAGTCAATGAGACGTCGCCCTGGAGGCGCGCCTTGAGCTCAATTTCGACGTCGAGATTGAGGCCGAGCTGCAGCCGGACAGGCTTCGTATCGGCAAGACGAGGGAGGATGGCGGGGTTGCTGAGGCCGGTGGCTGGGGCGAGAGCTTTCCTGTTGCGGCGGCGACGGCGGCCTCGCGAGTCGACGGACGAGGCAAGATCAGACGCGGAATCGTCGAGCTGTGGGGATTGCAAAAAGAGGACATGTTAGACTCGGGGAATCTCATCCGCGGCGTGGTCTTGCTTTGGGATCTTATCTGCGCATAGGAGAGGAGGAAAGAGGGGAGAGGGGTTACCTGGCGTCGCAAGTCAGCGAGAAGCTCTTTGGACTGGGGCGACCCGGACATGGAGCCGACGGGACGGGGACCGCTTGGGAGGCTGGGGAGGGGAGCAACCTTTGGCATGACGGGGTTGGAAGCCATGTTGGCGGACGGGGGCGGCGACGAGTCCTGGCGGATGGTGATGCACGTCACCGACTGCACGACGCTGTGGCTCGACTGGGCGGTAAAGACGGGCGGCTTCCGCTTGCGGTTGAACGACTCCTGGACGAGGCGGAGGGGTCGGGGCTTCGCAGCAGAGAATACGGGCCGGGTCCGCTTCGCGACGGGCGAGGTGTCTAGACGGTGCCGAGGGGCGTCGACGACGACGGGCGGCTTGACGGGGACAAGGTTGACCGAGAGGTTGAGCGGCTTGACAGGAAGGATGCGCTGCTTGAACGAGCTGCTTCTCTTGTGGCCGGGGTCGTGCTTGGAGTACGGCGGAAGGTTGCGCGGAGGTGAATACTGAGGAGGAGAGTACTGGGGGGGAGAGTTATGGATGCTTTCCCTAGGCCGGCTGTCGGGAAAGCGAGGAAACTGGCAGAAATAAGTCGTGCGGTTTTGGTAATCCACACCTGCGGCGAGAGAAGAGAATAGACTGTCGGGCTTCCAGAGCCAACAGGAGCAGTACCAGATACAGACAAGAGAAAGCCTTGTGAAAAGTTGTTGCTTGATGAGCAGAAAGAGACGTTATGAGCAGCAAACGCCATCTCATATATATAGAATGCAGACCGAGGCGGTCCGCCAGCTCTCCTGCATACCGACTCGGTCCTGCGGGCGCCATCGTAACAACTGGGTCGAAGTGTTGTCTGATATCAGGGGTGTCACGTGTCGCAGGACAGGGGGCGAGGGGGTAAGTTGCAGGCACAACAGCTCAGACCTGTTCAGGCACGGCACGTGAAACACAGCTCCTCGTACGATAAACAGCTTGGGACCACCACTCTGCAATTGCCACCAGGCCCCCGCTGACGTCGCAGAACTGACTTCATGAAGCCATTCTCGCCGCAAATCGCCAGGTGCACACCCTCCGCTCGTATGGTAGACAGCACATCATAGCCTCAGTTGTCAAGCCGCTAGGATCCTGGCCGTTTCGAAACAATATGCCTACTCAACAAGCAACAAGAATAAAAAAAATTTACCATCGTTCCTCTCGACACACCCTGGCGGCGGCTTTTTTGTGGGGCTTCGAACTGCCATTCGGTTACCGCTCACTTTTTCTCTAACCAATTTAAATGGCAGACATGTTCTCCCTGGAAAGAGTGCTCGATACGCCCACGAGAAAACAGAAAACTATAGGCTATATGGCGTGTACATGGTGTCCCAGCATATAGAAGCTGGGGAAAATTACCTAGCCATATCCCAGTGCCTAAAATCTACCTTACGCCCCAATCTGTTGATCCCAAGTGTTTTAGTTCCCGTAGTAAACTCCGCCCAAACATGAACAGCACAGTTATAGAAGCCAGCGACGACGCCAGGCTTCTTCATCCGAGTACCCCGGCATATCAAGTACTCAGCAAATCCTTCACGCTCATTCCCCGTCCTGCCGTTGCCGCGTTGCTGGAGCTTGGGCCCCGCCTGTCCGTCTGATTGAGCATCAGCAAAGCAGCAGTGGCTTCCTGGTCAAGATCCCGCTGAGGCGGCAAGGCCGGGCTCGTCAGCGCCGAACCCGAGGCCGAATGCACGCTGTGAGCATACCCATGGGACTGGGGGCCAAAAGTGGGTGAAGTAGTAGCCGACGTGCTGAAGCTGTGGTGCCGGCGATCCGTGGATGCTGATGAGTACGAATCACGGTGGTTTCGGAAATTCTCCGAGGGGAGTACTGGGGATGTGGGCGGCTGATGCTGACGGCCCGCATTCGGAGTAGCCGCCGGAGACGGATCCGGGGACGAACCAGTCATCTCTACGTCAGATGAATGGGTATCTGCAGTGATGGAAAATCCTTGGTCCTGGTTAGACGACGAGGGCAGACCTTGCTGCGTCTTCAGCTTTGCAACACAGTCTTCTAGATACTTTACATATTCGATCGACGCCTGGGGCAGTATGTTAGCCGCCAGTGGGCACATCGGGGCTCGAACATGAACGAGAGACGGCCAAACAGGTGGCTGTACGACCCCGCAACAGAGGCGAAGAGACAAATCGTTCCGGACTTACCTGGAGAATAGCGAGCTTGTGCATCTCGCCCGAGCAAGCGGGTATCATGTTTTTGAGGACGGTAAACTCATCATTCATTTTTGACCTCCTTCGTCTCTCGATCAGGCTGTGGGCTGTCTTTCTCGCAATCTTCCTCCCCGCCGCGCTCGTTGACGAGGGCTGTTTCTTCTTTGTCCCAGTCACTGCCTGTGTGGAAGAAATAGGTGTGTTGGCTCTGGAAGTAGACGCAATCCTCGTGTTGGTTGCGGAGGCCTGGGGGCTGGGCTCCTCGCGAGGCTTCATCTGTATGATCTTGCGTGAACGGGTAGGTGGTGGGGGGAGGGCAAACTGCTCCTTGGGCGGACCCTGAGGGCCCGACGAGCGCCTGCGGGACTTGACCGTCTCACTTGGCTGCAGGGGATACACCGGTCTCGAGGCGCTCGGGGCCGCACCTGGTGTCACAGCCGGAGGGGGCAGCTCAAATTCCAGCTGCAACGATGCCATCTTGGAGCCATCCTGCCCTGGGATGTCGGTTGACGACGCCGGCGTCGGCAGCAGCGCGGTTCTAGGCATCCCGGCTTGTTTCGTGCGGCTAGCTGGGTAGGGCTGGTAGTTAAGGGGTCGCGATGGTGGCAACTTGGGGAGAATGGCGAGTGCTGGAAGGGCCGGGGGCGGTATAACCAAGATACTAAGTCTGATCACAAGCCTGGTGGCCCGATCAAGGGGTGTTGCACCGTGCTTACAACAACACTGCGCAGTCCATGGCTCGAGATAGATGAAGGCTGAGGCGGTGGTGGTGTTGGTCGTAGCATCAGGAGAAGCGCAGAAGAGCCATACGACCTCCGCACATGCTGCCGACACACTCAAGCTTAACTTGAAGGCAAACAAAAAGCAGAAGGGTCGCGGGCAGACAGCTGTCGGGGTCCTGGGAAGGCGGACATTGTACGAGGAGCACTGGACACTCGGTGCGTGAGGAAGGAAGACAGAGGTACTGGAGGAGACACACAGAGGGCACGGGTACGGATAAGATAGATGGGTGGATGGATGGACAGAGGAAGTCGCGTGCCCAGCTTCGCTGTCACAGGCACGGGGTGCTATAGCGCAACCTGATTGGCCAACGGGGGGGGGACTGGACCAGACGCCGCGTCTCAAGCTTTGAGGTACGGAGTACGCAGTACTAGGTTCGAAGCCCTGAACTTACCTACAGAACATGGTAGGTGCCATGGGTAGGTAAGGAAGGCATGGCACCACTGCCACTTGGTAAAAGGTCCCATTCTTTTCTCTCGCCAGATGCGGTCCCACTTGGGCTCAGCACCACCAGCACCCTAAAAAAAATTGGTTTAAAAATTTTAAAAAAAATCTACACAACAAGATGAATATGAGTGCGATTGGATGGACAATACACACCCGGGTGCGGCCTTCTTAGCCTAACACCAGCACCATGCTCTCCCGCCGAAACCTCTGAGACTCATCGAGTCCTGCGACACCATTCCATCCAATAGTAGCTTGCACACACGGGCTGGCAACCTCGGCATTCCACAGGGTTAGGGTTGGAAGCGCCCTTGCCAAGACATCTGCTCCCCCTTTTCAATGGGTTGTAACTGTCACCAAGACCTGCCATGATCACCGAAAGCTACACATCCCCAACAGTCATTCAAGTTTCACCTGGTATATGTTATCTTGGGTAGTATATTGGAGAGAAAAAAACCGCGCCAGATTGGCTCCCGAGTAGTGGTGCCGTTGTTGTGAGAGATGTAAA